TTTTTTAAATATTTATTTATTTATACAAGCACTGGGTACAGTCAGAAGTGCGGGAGGGTGAGAGAATTTACCAGAGCCAGAGCAGGGAACAGAACAGGCAGACTGACAAATACACTGCTGAGGGGAGCAGCGGGCGGCAGGAGAGGTCTGTGTACCATGTGGGACCCTCGCCGGCGGCAGGGGATCGATCCAGTGCTGCAGAGGCTGCGGGCAGGTTCACAGCCCAGTGCTCAACTGCTGCGCCACTACGGGAGGCCCTGCTCCTGTTATTTCATATGACTGGAATCACACAGAATGTGCTCTTTTATGACTAACTTTCTTCTCTTAACATGTTTTCAAAGTTCATCCATGTTGTAGCATGAATCAGTACTTCATTGCTTTTTTATGGCAAAATAACACCTCATTATATGGACATACCACATTTTGTTTATCCATTCATCAGTGAATGGACGTTTGGGTTGTTTTCCACTTTGGGGCAAGTATGAATAATTCTGCTATGAACATTCATGTATAGATTTTTGTGTTTATAGAGATTTTTTCAGTTCTCTTGCGTATATTCCTAGGAGTGGAATTGCTGGGTTATATGGTAACTCTATGTTTCGCTTTCTGAGGAACCATCAGACTGTTATCCAAATCAAATATTTTTGGCTTTTTTTGCCAATGTAGAAACCCACTCTCATTGTAAAACAAAAGCTCAAACATTTCAGTTAAGTTTAAATTTGCTCAATCACATTTACTGTATCCTGGTCTTTTTCCCCGTGTGACCTGTTATTCTCCCAGCTTCTATTACGCATTTACCAAAGTCAGCAGGCAACCAAGAAGTACCCAGGGATCCCAAATTATTAAGGGGTGTACACTCAGAAAGAGATTTGGTCACCCATGTGCACAAAGGCAAAGGAAGCTGACTCTTAATATGAAAGATCTTTAGTAAAATTCATGTGCATAGAGGATCTTCCTAATAATAGTTTACTAATAAAACCCCCCAAATTACCCATCCCCTCATAGGCAAATACCTGGCCTAACAGGGTTGGCCCAAAGCAGGATCACTGAGGCCTAAAAGCTTGCCACAGAGTAAGGCACCTTCTGATGGGGAACCACAAGAAAGGGGCTAGGCAGGTCTGGGATGGAAGGTGAGGCACAAAATTACAAATAAACATCACAGCTGCCATCATCTCTGCCACGGACAGCTCCCTATGTGTCTCTCACCCACATCTCTTCCAAGTCCCTACATGTCTGTTCTCCATGTGTCTCCTCAAAGTCATCTTCCCAGCAGTACCAGGGTGCAAGTTGGGTCAGAGAAGCCAGAGAGAGACAGGCCCGCCTGCCTTTATTGTTCTATAAATGCTGCTCTGCTCTGCCCCTAGGTCCCAGTAGCTCCCCTGCTCAAGAAATCTGTTTCATACCATGCTGGGACTTGTAATCCAAGGCAGCTGTGTATAAGTGGGGGTGGGGGAAATGATGGCTCCCCTTTATGGAGATGTGTCTCTAACACCAACACACACACACACACACACAGGATATTTTATATTTTTTTACATACACAAGTTTTATTATATTTTGCATTCTGCATGTCAGAAATACAGTGATAACTTTATTTCTTGTACCCATGGCGTGGTGTTCCACACAAGAACAAGCCTTGGTTGATATAACCATTTACCTACTGGTGATGTATAAGATATGTTCCCAAGTTTTCTTCTGTCACAAGTTCTATGCACCGTTGCACACACTGTCATACACTCCCTTCATTTTGTTCATATTAGTTTATTTCCCATTCCATCCACTGAAGTGATTTCTAGAGTAGGTACTCCTACTATCTTAGTAGCAGTTAATCTTCAAGTTAATCACTATTAATTTATCTTCAAGTTTATTAATTTTTCCTCTTGAAGCTCAAATCTTCTATTTGAGTTTTGTGCTTTTCAACTCCAGAATTTTTTTTTTTTGGTTATTTGTATAATTTCTCTCTACTGATAGTCTCTATTTAGTGAGACACTGATGACATACATGGTTTCTTTAGTACTTTGAACATATTTATAGAATAGGTGATTTAAAGCCTACCTAGTAAGTCCAACATTTGGCCAGCCTCAAGGACAGTTTCTAGTGACTCATTTCTTCCTGCACTTGGGCCATCCTCTCCTGTTTCTTTACCGGTGTCATAATTTTTTTTTTTAACTGGGTCTTTTAGATAGATGCTATGGAAACCCCTCCCTCACCCCACCACCACCGCCAGGGCTTGTGTTGCTGCCTTGTGTTTGTTTAATGATTTGCCTGGAATGATTCCATAAAGTCTATATTCCTTGTGCAGTCACCAATGTCTCTCTCAGTTAGCTTAATGGTTAGGTAATGAGTGGACAGAGATTTCTTTAAACGCCTTGAGCTCGAAAACCTTCCACCCTTTGCCAAGGAGCTATGTGCAGCAGGCTTAGGTATGTCTTTAATGTTCACAAAGTTTATAATTGTTTCAGCCTTCACTTCCTTCTTGCACAAGACCGCAAGGTCAGCCAGAAGTGAGACATTTGAGCCCTCTCAGGTCTTTCCTGACCATGCACATTCAGAGTTTTTCCAAGTCCTCTATGATTATCTCATTTCTCAACTGCTCCTTTAAAACTTTTAGCTGGGCTCTTGTTTGCTGCCCAGCCCCCCACCCCCCTTTAGTCAAAATTACAGCTTGGGGATAAAGAGTTTACCATTGAGGCCTGAATAGAATTAGATAATCCCTTGAGGGTAGGGGTTTTCCCACAAAGAGAGTCCAAATTAAAGAATAACAACACTCTAAATGAAATTTTTCCAGATGTGACAGAGCTCTCTGAGGAGTCTCTGAGCTAGTCTGTCCCCTTTGGTGGCTGCAAGGCTGCTGGTTTTCAAGGTTACTATGGAGCATGGATCAAAGAGGGGGGACTAGGCCAAATTCAAGCCCCACAAACCCCAGTGTTCTTTCCAAAGTTGAGTAATATCTCTTGGATAAACTCTCTTCAGATTATTGGTAGCCTTTGGTTAGTTTCCAGAGTTCTGGAAAGTTGATTGTTATCATTTTGCCAGTAAATTATAAATTTATTATTATATAAATTATCAGAGATAATTTTGCCAATATTTGTGGCCATTGTGGAGGAACGGAGTTGCACAAGTCTTGTTCCACTATTTCAGAAGTCCAACCTCTGGTGAGAGATCATTTCTAAGATCAGCTTGCTTGGGTGTCTTAAGGCATTTTAAAGATGAAAAATTTGTTTTAGGATCCATAGGAATCATTCCAAAATATTGGGGTGGTCTGGGGACCCCTGTTAAAAGTCAGTGAGCTGCCAGAGCTCACACACCCATGCCCCTGACACCTCACCCAGGCCTCTCTTGGCTGCGTGCCCCACCCCCAGTCCTTTTCCAGGGGAAGGTAGCTGCTGAGTTTGAGCACTTCCCCTAAGTTACAAGAGTCCTCCTCAACCTCACAACTTGCCGGCATAACAAAAAAATCTCATTTCCCATTTACAGATAGAGAAACAGTTTCTCAGCAAAGTTACCTCAGCAAAGCACCCTCTGGGTAGTGGCGAGGGGATTCCACTTGAATGAGAGTTGCTCTGGTGTCCTCAAAGCCAACATCCCAACCCTCTGCAGACTACAGTGTGGGCAGTACACTGTGGAGGAGCACCATAGGTTGGAGCCTCCTTTTTCATCCTCTCCTCCAGAAGACACCTCCCCACTAGTCATGAAGCAGAGAGCAACAGCAAAGCACAGGTATGACTTGTGACAGAGCAACTGGGGTGGGAAAAAAGGGGTGACCCAGGTTGTGAGTCCTCACCCACAGACCGCATCTTAAGACCCAAAATCAGACACCAGAAAAAACTTTCAAAAGGTTTATTTACTAGGGGAGTGAGAAAGGGAGGAGAGCACAAGGGAGGCCCACAGGTAGCACCGCCTGAGGAGATCAGGGTGCAAGCCAAAGCCAGAAAAGCAAAACACACTCAGTTTCCTTAACTGCAGCATGGCCATTCTGCTCTGCCTCTGGTTCTTTGCAGCCCCACACCCCACCCCCCCACTTTCAGGAAGGCTTATGTCGGGAGTTGTAATGCTTAGAGCCTGAGATCTCTGGTTTAGAGATGGGGTGGAATCTGGAAAGGTCTACCTTCACTATGAGTGTCCCCCGCTGGCTTGTTGTTTGCTCCTCACTCTTTCTCTAACAGCTTGCCCCCATTCCCCTCAACAAACACCTGCTGAGGTGGGCTCCCAGTCCTTCCTTTCATCAGGAGACAGAGTCTCCAGGTGGTCCCCCTAAATCAAGGGAGGCAAGAATGAAGCCTGGTTGTGACTTCTGGGTGGGGAGTGTATGACTATTCCCCTTTATGTGCTCAGCAGAACAGAATTGACAGCTCGAATCCACCCAGCCCACTGCATGCCCAGAATGTCTGTGAGGACAGGAAGGAGGGTCCCCAAATGCCACAGGATCCTGGCCAGGCCACAGCACCACACACTCCCACTGACTCAACTCATTTCAACATCATTCATAAAAGACACACTTTATGTTGATCTCAGAAACTGGCACGAAAATTAGCACAACGACAACAGTGCTCTCTCATGTACTGAATCGTCTTTTGATGCACAATCTCAATGGGACTGTACAACCACCCTCCCGGGCAGGCAGGGTGAGTAACTGCAGATTCATGTTGCAGAGGACTTTGTGAGAGGTGTCCCGGCTTCCACACAAGTCTCTCAATATTGTGCACAGAAGCCTCCCTGCATCAGCCCAGGCTCCTCAATACCCTGGGGCAGATACCTCAACTTCCTTAGCTATAAAACAGAGGTCATCCCCTTTCTGAGCAAAGGGTCTTCTCACCAACACACATGGGCTCTTGGGATTTCTGTGTCCCAGATCTCGCAAAGTCCACGGTAGCTGTGCCAGGCAGTCAGACAAAAGCCTTGGCAAGCTCTGGGCACTCATGAACCTGGAGCTGACCATGGATCCACTGTTAGCTGGCCCGCTGCAGAACCACTTTCTGCGACCAGGCACCCTACGGAGATGTAGTTCTGGAGAAGGCAGAAAGGAGGGCTCTTCCTCGCCCCACTGGCCCCTCATCGTTGGGGAGGGAGGAAAAACCAGTATCCTCTTGCTGTCTTCTTTCTGCTACACCTGTGACTGACTGGTCTTCCCCATTCTTCTCCAGAGTGGGGTAGTACCTCCTCTCTTCGCAGGGGCTGACTCAGAACTAGGTCCAATCTGCCAGCCAGGCTGCAAGGTTCTCTGTAGTCCCCGGAGCAGGAGGGCCCCGCGCCTGGGCCATGGCCTTGATCTCATAGCGACACAGTGGACACGTGGCTGTGTCCCTGAGGACTTGCCAGGCACAACAGTGGCAGAAGCGTGAGTGGCCGCAGGGGACGAGGCAAGTGTTGGCAGTCTGCTCGTAGCAGATGACACACTTCTCTCCTGCTGTGGTGGTGAAAAGGGACAATACAGGCGAGAGGCACATGAGGGAAAGAGGTGGGCAACCTATTCATGATGTAACCACAGGGAAGAGGACGATACGGTCGTACGCTGAAGAATATGATGTCATGAGAAAATGCTCCCCATGTAATCAAGTGAAAAAATGAGGAAGAAAACCACAATTGGGCATATACAGAGTTCCATAAAATTCTAATTTAGGAAAACAAAGCACAAAGGACTCCCCATATACATATATGACTACAAAGTACCAGGAGGAAATCCACTTAACAGGTGATGGGTGTTTTTTTTTTTAATCTTTTTACTTCCTTCTTCATCCTTTAATGTTTATTTTATTTCTATTGAGCAAAACGTTTACTATGAATGTGGACTGCATTTTTTAAAGCAGGGGCAAAATAACTTATCTGCACATGAACGTGCTCTTGTAATTGTAAAGTCAGCCGATGTTCTGGAAGGCAGAGCTGTTAAATGGCTTTTAGGTTTCCTGTAGGCAGAGCCAAATCTTTTGGCCTAAAGCCTGTGGAAACTTGATAAGACTTGGAAAGAACTGACTGAACTGCCGGGTCCCCAGCCTCCCCCAGATTCCCCAGTGCTGGCATCAGGGAAACCACTCACCTTTAAGCTCTAGCAGAAAGTCATCACAGAAAACCTTAGGTGTGGCTGTGGGGAGGGCACCGGCTGTGGGATCTAAGGCAGAGAGGGAAACTCAGGCCCAGGGAAAGCAAAACCAGGGTGCTCCCATCCCCTTAGCCCCCTCAGACAAGATCCATCTCCTTTCTTTTCTGGGGTACAATGATGGTGCTCCCCACTAATCTTAAGGCCCTGTCATGGCCATTCCTTTTCCCAGTTTAAGCCAGCAGAGAATTTATAGAACTGCAGATTCTTTTTCCTGATCTTCTTCAGACAGCTCCTTTTTGCCCTGCTGCCACCTGAGAGCAGGACCTCAACCTCACCCAGGACCTCAAGCCCAAGGCCTTAAATTCCCTGCAGAGGCAGAGAAAACAGTTGTTTAAGCCCCACCCCAAACCTACCAAATTAGGTGCGCCAGAGGTGAGGCTCCAGCAGTGGTGACAAGATAGCTGAAAAACAAAGGAGCTTGAGGCGAATGGGCTGCCTGTGCAGGTCACTGATCACCAGCACGGCAGTGCCAATGCTTTTGTGGGTGCCTCGTTATCTACGTGAGCCCCTGACATCCCTCCTCTTTCAGGCAGCTAGATGGCTCTTGTTGCCCTGTCACTGAGTGAATGTCTGGACTTTGCCCCACCAGTGGTCTTCCCGCTCACCTCTGAGCCTCGGCTTATTGCTGTCTCCAGTGAATATTACCTAAACTGCAAAGTCTGGCCCTTTGTGACAGGTGATCTGCTATTTAACGGATGTCTAGGGTGCTGGACATATGTCTTATCATTTTTTAGGGACAAGGCTGCCCTCTTTATGAGTGGTTCTGGTGTCCCCAGGGCCCATCTTCAAACCCCATCCTGGGCAGGAGCTGATGGAAAAGCTGACTATGAATGAATGTAGGGTTCTAGCCGCAGCTCCAAATGCCCCCAGAGGAGCCACCCATTCATTGCCTTACCCAGTAATTCGATGGCCTTGGTAGTCCCGTACAGGTCCATCACAGCCCAGAGCGGGTCGCCCACGGCCACATCCGTTCGCAGGCGGAGCGGAGAGTTGGAGTTGACCTTAACGAAGAGCCAGCCCCGGGAGTTCACCCAGAAGCAGACCACGTTCCCGGGGAGCACGCAGTGGTCGGGCAGCACGGCCGCCCATGTCGGGCTCTGCTGCTCCAGGTCTGGGCACAGGAAGGGTGGCAGGCTGGGCGAACACAGGCGCGCAGGGTCCAGGCGAGTGAAGCCCACGCGGAGCCCCCCTCGCCAGCGGCACTCATGATGCAGCACGCGCAGCGCCACCGGCTCGCAAGGCTGCACCGGCCGAGCACTGAACACTATGCCATCGTGGAAGGTGGCGTGCCTGCGGGCAGTGCTCTGCCCGGCCTCCAGACGCACTTGTGCGCCCTTGGCCTCAGTGTGGAAAAGAAGTCTCTCTCGGGGTGCCTGGGGATCTGTGGGGAGCATAGGGGGCATCAATAAGGGATCACCTCGAACCCAGCTCCCAGCACTCTGGGGCCACCTCCACTTTACCCCTGGGGGGCACTGCTCCCCACCTCACCCCCTGAGGACCCCAGAGATATGCTTACAGTAGGGTGGGGAACCTGCTTGGCCTGCTCAGGTATGAAGTTCCACAATGAATGCCCCTAAGCCACAGTTCTCCTCCAGAAGGGATGGTATAAAAATTAAGAGAATTGATACCTCCACTCTCAATACCTGGTGATGGTTATTATTGCCCTTAAATAGAAAGCAGCTGGTTGTAGAACAGTGGCTAGAACATCATCCTGGTTGTGTTCAACATATTTATTACACACACACATACATGTATATATATAATGTGCACGTATATGTTATATACACATATACACATACAGGTACATGTACCTGTATCTACAACAACCTGAAAGGGGCTAGACCTGCCAACTGTGGTGGGCCCTGGCAGATAGGCCCGGCATTGGCACCGTGTTTTCCTCCTTGCTTGTCTGACTTTCCGATTTTTCCACAGAGCACCTACGTCACTTGTGAAGGCCATGGTCCCAGTGAGTCTGACTTCCCAATTCTGGGAGAGATAGGGGCCCAGTAGCTCCCTGTGGGTTAGGGGACACGGGTTGGAGAGGATCTCTCAGAATCAAGAAATCCCCAGCAAAGGACTGAGGTGGGCTTGGAACTCAGGGAACTTCCTGCTGTGACTCCACTTGGCAGCCAGGAAGGGAAAGTTCCTCACTGGGTAGCTCTTCCTCTAAGGCCTGAGACCTGGGAGAAGTTGGAGGAGCTTCCTAGCCCAGAACTGTTCTCATCCAGCTCCCCAGGCCTTATCTCTAGCCTCCTCTCCTTGCTCCTTCTGCTCTCCCTGTGTTGGAGGAGATGATGACTGTTGAATATAAAAAGGGGGGAATCAATCAGAATTTGAGCCAGACCCCAGCTCCTTCCCTCCTGCCTCTTCTCAGTTTCTCCCAGGCTCCTTCTCTGACCATGCACATGCCTGCAAGATTCCAGCAGGCCCAGGAGGGGATTTCAATCCGGTCAGGCACTAGTGACACCCCTGAGTCCCTGGGTCACAGTGACTCCATCCTTGACCTCACGAGAAAAAGGTAAGCATCCCATGGTTCCCTGACCAAGACATGAGGGACAAGGTCTTACCTGGCCTGAGAGCCTTTGCACATGTCCTTGCAGAGTCCTGCTATCCAAGCTCAGCTGACCCTCACCCATGCCCCCACCCATACTGCCATCCCTCCTCCTTCCTTTCCTGAAGGGTCTGCCCAGGACCCTCTGCTCCTAGAGGCTATACCTCAACCAAGCGGGAGGCCCTGAGGAGGGAGAAATGGCAACCAGGAACTGAATCCATGACCCGGACACTGAATGGACACCGCTGACTGGCATCCAAGGGGGCTCATGGAGGGCAGCCATATCCGACACCCCAATTCTAGTCTCAGCTCCTCTGCTGACCTAGGCATAGGCCTCCGTATCCACAATGAAATGCTAGGACTGACCAGCCAGTGCCTGGTATCACCAGGTACTTGTCTTAATAAGGTCCATAACAAGAGGAGTCAACTGCCCACCTGGGCAGGCATTGGGTCTGGGGCACTAGGGGTAGGGATTGGAGCTACCCAGTATAAGCAGCAAGACCATCCCAGGAGGGTGGAACCCTTCCCCTCACTTGGCTGGGCACTGCCCATCCCTGACACAAGCATAGGAGAGAAGCCCTGGAGGGGACTTGGCAAGGGTGCTGTCAGCACATCGTCCCCCACACACCGGCAGGGCCCATCCTGCCACCACTGGCAAAAAGAGACCCCATGTGACAGTGGGCAAGCGGCGCGTTCTGGGCCCGCAGCAAGCAGGGGCAGAGCTGGGATTCAAACTGGACTTGCCTCAGTTTCACCCAGGGCAGCCCCTGGGTTGGGAGAACAGGAGACCCATTATGCTCAGCATCTTGGGCCTGGACAGTAAACTGCAGAGTGGAGCCCATTCTGACTGGGCACTGCTTGCTCTCCCTTGGGAAGGGATCCTGTATGGAGTTTGCACCCCATACCCTGTACAGCAGCCCTGGACAGAGACTCAGGCAGGACTGGCTCCATGAGAGCAGGGGTACTGAGGAGGGACAAGAGGTCACAGGGGACTGCAGGCAGTACAGGGTGGGGGGAGGAAGATCCCGGAAATGTTGTGGGTGCATGCGTGCCTTGGCATCCTGGGGTCTGGGCAGAGGCAGGAATTTGACAGTCTAGAACGCTCACCACATTCCTGCCTCAGGAACCATGTCCTGTGCCACCAAGTGGCCAGTGGACTTGCGCACCCTTCTCCCTGCACGCTCACTCACTACCTCACCGCCCCTTGCCAAAGGTGCTAAACCTTCACCCACTCAATCCTCCCATCAGCCCCCAAGGTATGCCTCTTCATTCCCATTTTACAAATCAGGAAGCAGAGGAGGAGGCAGAGATGGGCACAGGTCCCGTGTGGCTCTCTGAGTGGCCTGTTCCTAGTACTAACCCCATTTTCTGGCAGGACCCAAAGGCTGGATAAGCAGAGTGACTCGCCCATGGACGAGCTTCTGCAATTATTCTGCCTGACCCCCCTCCCCCACCCGGCGCAGGGGACAGCCCGTGTGCTGGGTTGCATTGTCTCTGGCCTGCAGCTGAGGAAACTGAGGCCTATGGAGAAGTGACTTGCCCAAGTTCCTACAACTCAACGTGGCAGACTTGGGCCCTCTTGTGTCTCACCAGGTCCTCTAAACTCTCCCCTGTTCCCCACCCTAGGCAGTCTTCTCTCTGCACAACAGGAGCTGATGGGTCATCACCTTACTGCAGGGATGCAGGGCCTGAGCCACTTCCTGTGCTGGATTCTTACAGGGACAGGGCATCTCACTGCAGGGGCTCTTTAACTAGGGCAGCCTGACCTGCAGAAGCAGCTATTTCTGAGCAGTGTTTGCACTGAACATCCTTCTGCTTCCTGGGACATCTACCCCAGCAATGACACAGAGCCTCCCTCTGCTTCTGCCACCAGTTCAGGGGCCAAGGCCAGGGCTCCCACTTACCAGCCTGGGAGCAGAGCTTGGCACCCATCAGCTTGGGATCCTCAGGCACAGGTCACTGTGTCCAGAAGGAGTTGTCTGGAGAAGGCTAGTGCATAGGTTTCCAAAGACTCAGCAGGTCCTCTTGTTAAGAGCTGGAATCACGTTACTGGGTTGATGATTAATTACAATATCCAGGGAATTTCCTGATGATTTATCCTGGCTTGCAGCAGCTCTCCCACAGTTGGCTAGCCTAAGGGAAACAGGAACTGGGGTGATTTGGGCCTGAGTAAGATTTAGGGTAGGCTTCTCTCTTACTTCTGATGAGTCCTCTCAACCTTCTTCTTTTTAAAAAGATTTATTTATGCATAAAACAAATGGGGTGTACAGGCCAGAGATGCGGGAGGGTGAGAGGATTCACCAGAGACAGAGTGGGGAACAGAATAGGCAGACTGACTGAAATACACTGCTGAGGGGAGCTGCGGGTGAGACAGGAGAGGTCTGATGTGCCATGTGGGTAGCTCCCTGGCTGGGAACTGAACTCCTGCTGCAGTGGCTGCGGATAGCTTCATAGCAGCATCTCAACCTCTTGCACCACCAGGGAGGCCCTTCTCTCTTACTTCTGATGCATTCTCTCAACCTCAAAACACAGGTTAATAAATACCTATCCCCATACCTGCCCCTGGAGACTTCAATTCCAGTAATCCTGGTGGCACTTGGCATCTGTACTTTTTAAAAGCACCCCAAGTGATTCTCATATACAGACAGGGCAGAGATTCACAGACCCCAGCACAGAGAAGATGCTTAATCAATGTTGCTGATTGAATTAAATTACTTGCACCCCAGAACTGTGAATTTGCCCCAGTCCTGGGCCTCCCATAGAGAGAAGAACTAAACACAGATTGAGGGAAGTGTTGATTGTACCCTCAGATTCCACCACAAAACATAAATAGTCCTGCAGAGGATCCTAGTGCTTTAGGTGTGGCAAAGAAGTCAGAGATCTTCTGCCCCCTCCATTTCTGTTAGGGAAACTGAGGCTGGGGGGCAGGAAACAGGCTTGTTCTATTGCTTCTTTCTGCAACCTGCACATGAGTCCCTGGGGATCTTATTCAAAAGTAGATTGATTCAGGGCCTCCCCTGGTGGTGCAGGCGGTTGAGCGCTGTGCTGTGAACTGTCCACAGCTTCTACAGCACCAGTTCGATCCCAGCCGGCTGGCGAGGGTCCCACATGGCGAAGCAGACCTCTCCTGTCTCGCCCGCTGCTCCCCTCAGCAGTGTATTTCATCAATCTGCCTGTTCTGTTCCCCACTCTGTCTCTGGTGAATCCTCTCACCCTCCCGCGAATCTGGCCTGTACCCCAGTTCTTATATAAATAAATAAATAAATCTTAAAAAAAAAAGTAGATTGATTTAGAAGTTTTAGGACTATGTCTGGGATTCTGCTTTTCCAACAGGGTAGTTCCGTGGGTCACACTTTAGCTAGCAAGAGCCTGTGTTAGTTTGGAGACCTGTGTATGCTCTGTGTAAGCCCTTCCCAAGACCCGTGATCAAGGTCATGATCAGTGACCACTCTGGACCCAGCTAACTGGATGGGCACTCTCCATATATGGCCCTGGAGGAGCTGGGATTATTGGCACTGTTGACTAGGTTGGGGAGGTTATCTGGAGTGAAAGGGATGAGGATTTTGGGTGCCCCTGTGTGCAAAACCAGAAGCCAGGATGAACTGGTCTGTGGGTTCCTTCCGGCCCTAAAATGCTGTGACTTTGGTCCTGATGACAGGAAGATGACAGCTACCTGACCCCGCATGATTTCAGAAGATGCTGCTGCCACCCTGGACCTTCCTTTCCACACCATGTGCCCTCCTAGGCAGCTTGCAAACTGGTGACTGTGTCACCAGTCAATAACAGTGACTTCAAGGTTGATAGTTCCAGCTGGTCCAATCTGTGACAAAGGTCCCAAGTTTTATGGGTCTGCTGGGCCAGACTTGAGGGATCCAGGTTCAGGGAAACTCCTTGTTTCTGGGCAGTACTGGAGCTCAGAGAACCCTCCTTCTTCCTGCCCACCCCTGGCTCCATCTGTAGTGCTGCTGCCTTGGTGGTGCCCAGGGCCTAGAGCCAAGGGCACCTTGTCAATAAACCACGTATCTACAAGAGATAAGCATGAAATCATATCAGGGAAATAAGGTCTTGAACCTCAGCCTGTCTGGAAAATTACTGGAAATGTAGACACAAGGCTGCCTTATGCCAGCAGGCTGAGGTGGTATGTCCCCATCTGCAGGACCTCAGTAGAGGGGAAGCTAAAAAGGACTTGGGAAAGAAGACTTGGAGGAGGCACGTGGAGCAGAGAGACATGTGAAGAAGAAGCCGTGCTTGCTTCTCGGCCTTGGACTTGCACCAGGGGCTTGGGGGACATGGGAAGCTGACAATGGCAGCCTTTATCTGGACTTGTATTTTGATTTTGTTCTTTTCCTTCCAGACTTGCCTGGCCCCTTCTGCCCCTTTCCTATAGGTCCCCACCAGAAGGTGCCTTAGACTTGGACAAGTTTTCAGGCCTCAGAAGCCCCACTTTGGGCCAACCCAGTTTGGCTGGGCATTAACCCATGAGGAGATGAGTAACTTCGGGTGTTTTGTTGGGAAACTATATCCTTTCTCTGCTCTCTGTGCCATGTACACTAATTCTATTAAAGTTCTTTTCTATTAAAGGTCTTACACACCAAGAATGTGCGTTGTCTTTATGCAGCAGATGGCAGAATCCATTTAGAGTGTGCAAGTTCAGGGTCCGGAGTGCTTCTCAGTTTGTGAGCTAACAAGACCACTCTGCACTTAGTTGTTATTCATGTCTTCCCCATTTGATGGTGGTGACACATAGTAGGAGCTTTATGGATCTTTGCTGACTGGTCACCAGAGTATGAGGTGGAATCTTCCCCATAATAGACTATGCCCTTCTCTCCCTTCCAGACCACGCTCAAGACAAGACTGTGGTAAATATTCCAAGAGAGAAGTGATGCCCTTTGAAAGGAGGGCAGCCTGGAGATAGTGATTGAGGCGGTTCCTGCTGGCTGTAGTCAGTACTGCAGGTTACTCTGAAGCTGGGAATCCTCAGCTTCAATATTGAGGGTGTGTGTGTGTGTGGGGGGGGGGTGATGTCAGGGGAGGGGGAGCTGAGGCTTTAAAGGCTTCTGCACCTCCCCCCACCCCCACCTCGCACCCTGCCAGAGTCCTTCCTCCTTAGGGTCCCCTAACTAGAGGTCAACCCTCACTTTGAAGAGCCCCCATCTTTACCGAGGGCTCTTACAGAGTCATCTCCTAAAATGCCTCCAGCACTGCTAGAAGCCATGGGGCTATCTCCTCCACACAGCTGAGGAAGCCGAGGGCTTATCCAGCATTCAAACCAGCCTTCAGAGGGAACCCAGTGAGTACCCAGCCCAATCTAGGCCTCCTGCCTGGTGGCCCTGAGACTCCTGCTGTATTATTCCTGCCTGTCCTCAGCTGTTCTCCACTGGGATAAAATACTGTAAAGCAGGGGCAGAGGTGCCTGGAAATCTGCCCCCACAACAATCAGGACCATGAACACAGTAAGTCGTCTGCAAGGGTTTCTCAGTGCCAAATAGTGCAGTGTGGAAGTATCTTTAAAAATTGCCCATCTGGGGCCTCCCTGGGGACGCAGGGGGTTGAGATGCAGCCGATGAAGCTGTCCGCAGCCACTGAAGCACAAGTTCGATCCCCAGCCAGGGAACTGCCCACAGGGTTGGCAGACCTCTCCTGGCTTGCCCGCTCCTCCCCTCAGCAGTGTATTTTGGTCGGTCTACCTGTTCTGTTCCCTGCTGTCTCTGGTGAGTCCTCTTGCTCCCCGTGCCTCTGGCCTGTACCCCAGTTCTTGTATGCATAAATAAATCTTTAAAGAAAAAAAAATTGCCCATCAGCCTATCCTGTGAGCCAGGATCCCATTCCTCTGAGTATCCGCTCAGGTGCAGATGTCCACAAAGCAGCATTATTCATGACAGCCCCAACAAGAGATGTCTCAATTGTCCACCATGGCCGATGCTGCTGTGCTGCTCAGCTGTTGCTTCAGAAATAAAGGACTGGCCCTCAGGAAGCTGGAGTGCTGCCGTTGAGGGGTCAGCTGAGGTTTTTGTGACAGCCTCTCTGCAGTCTGCTCCTCCACTGTCCACTCCTGTTTCTACAAGTGCTAATCCTCAGAACATTCCCTAAAATAAATCCCCATCCCTAAACTGCCTCATAGATTGCTCCTGGGAACCCAACTTCCCATACCCATCAACAGGAGAATGGAAAAATAAACTGCCATGCCATCATACCATGAAATGCTCATGACAAAAAAGAACTTCCTGTTATCCACAACCAAGTGGAGAAGCTTGAGGATGTAATGACCTAAGAGAAGATCCAAACAGCATGGACCAGATGCTTCCATTTATATGATGTCAGAACAGTCTAAATTCATCTGTGGTGTGAAAAGTCAGGACAGAACTCACCACTGGGAGTTCATAATGGAGAGGATAATCAAGGGATAAAGTCCTCCAACGTTACCAGGTGGTGTGTATACATATGGAAAAAATCCATTGATCTGGACCTTAGATCATGTCAGTTGTACCTTGTTTCATATTATAAAGTGTCTCAATTACCTCTCAGTTCTGATTCTGAGGGAGCTGATGAACTCTTGGAAAATCCTGCCCTGTGAGACAGTGGGCTTAGCTAACACTGCCGCCAGGTGGTGAAAAACATAACTGCCATGGGTGCAATATCTTGGAGAGAAATAGGACCACAAAGGCTCCCAGCAAACCACCCCCTACACACACACACACACACACACACACACACACACACACACACACACACCCCCTTGGTCTCTGGACACTAAATTTCCTTCCAGACCATTGCCCCCTAATCACTCTGAGGGTCCACTTGTCATTTAAATAACAGATTCTCAGATTACCTTTTCAAAACTCTAGCTATTTGTTACTTAGAAGAAAGATAATTAAATACAACACAAATATTGGAAATATTTCTCTACTAAGCAAATACTAATAAAAAGAAGATGGTGTAGAAATATTTATGCCAGGAAAAATAGACATGAAGGCAAAAGTCATCACATAAGGCCTCACTTAATGTCTTTGATAGGGTCTTAGAAATAGCAACTTTAAGCAAATAAC